CTCTCTCCATTTCTCTCTCTGTCTCTCTCACACACACATTCTCTCTCCCTGTGTCTCTCTCTCTCTTTATTTCTCTCCCTGTCTCTTTCTCTCACACACACGTACTCTCTCTCACTGTGTCCCTCTCACTCCCTATTTCTCTGTCTGTCTCTCTCTCTCTTTCTCCTGCTCCCTCACTGCCACTCTCTGTCTCTCTCTTTCTCTCACACACTCCCCTGTTTGGGTCTCTCTCATTCTGTCTATCTTGGTGTCTCTCTTTCACCATCAATTTCTCGGTGCCTCTCTATCTCTCTCCGATGCTCTCCCCATCTCTCTCTCTGTGTATCTCTGCCTGCCTCAGTCTCTCTGTCTCCCTCTCTCTCTCTGTCCCTTTCACACTCTCTCTCTCATTTTCTTCAGATCCATTTGGAGGCGACACAACTGACCTTTAGCAGAACCGAGCGAGTGGTCTCCCATCTCACAGTGTTACTGCACTGTTGGTGGATGCACACAGTACGTACCCAGCTCTGTGTGGGACACGGCTAATCTGTTCTCTCTCTCTCTCTCTCTCTGTCTCCCATTCTCTCTTCCCCCTCTTCTCTCTCTCTCTGTCTCGCTCTCTCTCTTTCTATCTCTCTCTCTCTGTTGCCCATTCTCTCGTTCCCTCTCTCTCTCACTCTGTCTCTCTTTCTCTCTGTCTATCTCTCTCTCTCTCTCAGATAGCTCTATGTCAACGTGTTTTGGGTGGCTCTCTCTGTCTCTCTCTCGCTCTTTCTGTCTCTCTCAATCTCTCTCTCACTCTCTGTCTCTCTCTCTCAAGCTCTCTCTCTCATAGATAACTCTATGTTCATGTGTTGTGGGTAACCATCTCTCTCTCTCTGTCCATCTCTCTCTTGCTCTCTGCCTCTCTCTCTCTCTCAGATAGCTCTATGTCACTGTGTTATGGGTGACACTCTCTCTCTGTCTCTATCTCTCTCCCCCTTTCTCTCTATCTCTGTCTCTCACTCTCTCTGTCTCTCTCCCTCCCTCTCTCTCTCTCAGATAACTCTATGCCTATGTGTTATGGGTGACCCTCTCTCTATCTCTCTCTCTGTGTCTCCATCTCTCTCTGTCTGTCTCCCTCTATCTCTCTCCCTCCCTCTCTCTCAAAAAACTCTATGCCTATGTGTTATGGGTGACCCTGTCTCTCTCTCTCTCTCTCTGTGTCTCTCTCTCTCTCTGTCTCTCTCCCTCCCTCTCTCTCTCTCAGATAACTCTATGCCTATGTGTTATGGGTGACCCTCTCTATCTCTCTCTCTCTGTGTCTCCCTCTCTCTCTTTCTGTCTCCCTCTATCTCTCTCCCTCCCTCTCTCTCAAAAAACTCTATGCCTATGTGTTATGGGTGACCCTCTCTCTCTCTCTCTCTGTGTGTCTCTCTCTCTCTCTGTCTGTCTCCCTCCCTCTGTCCATCTCTCTCTCGTACTCTGCATCTCTCTCTCTCTCTCTCTCTCTCAGATAATTCTATATCAATGTGTTGTGGGTGACTTTCTCTCTCTCTCTCTCTCCCCCTCTTCCTCTCCATTCCTCCCTTGGACAGCTTTACGAGGATGTTTTGAGGGGAGTGTGTTACAAGGCTCTGGGAGGGTCCCTGTACCTCTGCCTGTTCTCAGTCCTGATAGTGATGGCTTTCTGCTCTCTCGTGTACACTCTGCCTCAGGTCCAACTCTACACCCAGAGCCTCAGGTCAGTGTCCTGAGGGAGATCCTCACCGAGAGAGAGGGACGGGGTTGGTGGGGGGAGGGGACAGGGGGAGAGGGGATGGGAGGGAGAGGGTCGGTGGGGGGGCAGAGGGGACGGGAGGGCGGGGAGACGGGACGGGCGGGAGAGGGAACGGGGGGGGAGGGGACGGGGAGGGGGGGAGAAGGGGCGGGAGGGAGAGGGGACGGGGGGAGAGGGGACGGCGGGGAGAGGGGACGGGGGACAAGAGGGAGAGGGGGGCGGGTGGGAGAGGGGACGGGGGGAGACGGGACAGGAGGGTGAGGGGGAAGGACAGAGAGGGAACTGGAGGGAGAGGGCAGAGAGTGTTGGGTGTGGAAGGCACGAAGAGGAGAGGGTGGAGGAGGGGAGAGGAAAGGAAGTCAGAGTGAGAGGGCAGTGGAGAGAGGAGGAGAAGGGGGTAGTGAGGAAGTGAGTGGCAGGGTGGATGGAGGGAGGGGGTAGGAGTGAATGAGATGAGGGAGGGATGGAGAGGGAAGAGGGAGTGAGAGGGAGGGGGAAGGAGTGAGATGGAGTGAGTAGAGGGCAGAGGGGAGGAGAGGAGGTTTGAGGGTGGAGGGATGGAGTGAGGGACTGGGAAGGAGCTCTAACCATTGTCACTCCCTGAAAACCTTGTGTATTTTTACATCCCATACCTCTCCCTCCCTCCATTCCCTCTCTCTCTCCCTCCATTCTCCTCTCTCTCTCTCTCCCTCCATTTCCTCTTTCTCCCTCTATTCTCCTCTCTCTTCCTCTATTCCCTCTCCATCCCTCCATTCCCTCTCTCCCTCCCTCCCTCCCTCCATTCTCCTCTCCCTCCCTCCATTCCCTCTCTCTCTCTCCTTCCATTTTCCTCTCTCTCCCTCCATTCTCCCCCCCCCCCCCCCTCTCTCCCTCTCACTCTCTCCCCATTCCTTCTCTCTCTCCCTCCATTCTCCTCTCCCTCCCTCCATTCCCTCTCTCCCTCCCTCCATTCCCTCTCACTCCCATCATTCCCTCTCTCTCGCTCCATCCCTCTCCCTACTTCTATTGCCTCTCTCTTTCCCTCCATTCCACACTCTCTCTGTCCATTCCATCACTCTCTTTCACTCCATTCGCCCTCTCCCTCCCTCCATTCCCTCTTCTCTCTCTCTCCATGCATTCTCTCTCTCCATCCATTTCCCCTACATCTCGTTCCGTCCCTCTCTCCCTCCGTCCCTTCATTGCCTCTCTTTCCCTCCATTCTCCTCTCTCTCTCTCCCCCTCCATTCCCTCTCCCTCCCTCCATTCCCTCTCTCTCGCCCTCCATTTCCTCTCTCCCTCCATTCCTTCTCTCCCTCCCTCCGTTCCTTCTCTCTCCCTCTCCATTCCCTCTCTCCCTCCATTCCCTCTCTCTCTCCCTCCATTCATCTATTCCTCTCCCCCAATGCCCTTCTCTCCCTCCATTTCCCCTCTCTCTCTCTCTCGCTCCATCTCTCTCCCTCCCTCCTTTCGTTGCCTCTCTCTCTCTCCTGCCATTCGCTCTGTCTCCCTCCATTACCCCCTCTCTTTCTCTCCCTCTCTCTCTCCCCTCTCTCTCTCCTTCCTTTACTCTGTCTCCTTCTCTCTCTCTGTCTCCCTCTCTCACTCCCTCCATTCCCTATCTCTCTCTCTTCCTCTCCATTCACTCTCTCCCTCCATTCCCTCTCCCTCTCTCTCCCCTCCACTCCCTCTCACTCCCCTCCACTCCCTCTCACTCCTTCCATTCCCTATCTCTCTCTCTTCCCCTCCTTTACCCTCTCTCTCCCTCCATTCCCTATCTCTCTCTCTTCCCCTCCTTTACCCTCTCTCTCCCTCCATTCCCTATCTCTCTCTCTTCCCTTCCTTTATCCTCTCATTCCCTCCATTCCCTATCTCTCTCTCTTCCCATCCTTTACCCTCTCTCTCCCTCCATTCCCTCTCTCCGTCCTTCTGTCTCTCTCTCTCTGCCCCCTCTCTCTCTCTGTCTCCCTCCATTATCCTGTCTCTCTCTCTCCTCCTCCTTCCCCCCTCCACCTCCCTCCCTCCCTCCCTCCGTTCCTCAGGACCCCGAGACACTGTGACCTCGAGGAGGATGACGGGGAGGAGGTGGGCCACTATGCGAGTCAGGCCCCGAGGCGACCCCACCAGGCTCGGGACCGGGTGCCCGCCCTCTGCCCCTACCCTAGGAACCGTGCCAGGCCGCCTGGGGTCCGGGCCTCCGCCCCACCCATCTCCTTGGCCCAGCTCCCTCACTACACGTGACTCCCTGCCAGGGAGCGGGGCAGGAGCGGAGTAGGGGTGGGGGACAGGGGAGCCAGTTGATCATTGCCCATCCTCGGGTGTTGAGGTGGGATGGGGGTGGGTGGGCATTGTGCCATCTTCGTTCTCACGCAAAGAATCCACCTGAATATCCCTTAAACCCCCACCCCCAGCCCCCACCTCCGTCCCCCTGCCATGTTCAAATAAATTAACCCCTTCCAACAAAAAGACCATTCTCATGTTTCTTTGATGCAACAAAAACTTTCAGCTCTATGGAGCACCACTTCGTGCCATTTGGGCATCTCTGGCTGGGCGCCGCATTTATTGCCCCCCCCCCCGCTGTCTCTAGTTGCCCCCCACTTTGAGAAGTTGGTGGGGTGGTGGGGGGGTGGGGGTGACCTGCCTTCTGGAACCGCTGCCCTCCCACGTGCTGTGGGTAGACCCCTCAGGGAGGGAATTTTGACCCCTGAAGGAACGGACCGGTATATTTCCGCGTCGGGACGGGGAGGGAGCTGGGGTTGGGGGGAGGGTTGTTCCCCATGTATCTGCTGCCCCTTGTCCTTCCAGACGGAAGGGGGTCCCGGGTTCAGAAGGCGCTGCCTGAGGATCTTTGGCGAGTTACCCACAGGCGGTACGCGCTGCTGCGGCCGCGCCTGAGCGTCTTGTAGACGGTACACACTGCTGCGGCCGTGCCTGAGCGTCTTGTAGATGGTACGCGCCGCCGCGGCCGCGCCTGAGCGTCTTGTAGACGGTACGCGCCGCCGCGGCCGCGCCTGAGCGTCTTGTAGACGGTACGCGCCGCCGCGGCCGTGCCTGAGCTTCTTGTAGACGGTACGCACTGCTGCGGCTGTGCCTGAGCGTCTTGTAGACGGTACGCGCCGCCGCAGCCGCGCCTGAGCGTCTTGTAGACGGTACGCACTGCTGCGGCTGTGCCTGAGCGGCGGGGGGAGCGGATGTTTGTGGGTGTGGTACCAATCAGGGCAGCATGGGGCGGGGTGCTGCTTTGTCAGTGGACGGTGTCGAGCCTTTCGAATGTTGCCGGAGCTGTCCCCGTTCAGTTTCTGGTCAATGGTAAGCCCCAGGATGTTGATAGTAGGGGCTGGGATTCCTTGACGGTAACACCATTGAACGTCGGGGGCGGGGGGGGGGGGGCGGGGGGTGTTGGAGATGGATATGACGGGCGCAGACGACCAAGGGAAGAGTGTCGCGTCCTCCGTTGGACACTTCTTCAGAGCTGAGAGGGGGCAATGACTTGGCCAAGGAGCTCGGGCATCCATGGAGAGGGCGGTGGTGGCCAAAATAGAAAGGGGCTAGCACCGGTGCGATGGGCAGAGCGGCCGCGACTAAGGGTTGAGGAGGGCGCAAGACAATAGGCTTACCTCTCGGTGACGTCACAAACAGACGCCTCTGTCTATTCGCTCAGCGTGGAATGATGGACAGGCGGGGGCGGGATCAGGACTTGATTGACGGGGCAACGAAGAACGCCATTGGCCGCTGTGTTTGGGGCAGCACATTCCTATTGGTCAGAGTAACGCCAATCTCGCGGAGAGCAGCCAATAGCCGTAAAAGGGGGCGGGACAACATCGTTCACACCCGTGAGGCGCGGCATTCCGATTGGCATAAGGATAAACCAATGGCAGTGGGAAAGGGCGGGACAAAGACCTTGATGGACGTACCATTGGCTCGGCTGATTCGCCGGTCGTTCGGGAGGTGAGCGGTGCTTCGTGACGTCATACGAAGTGTCGTGGGAAGCCGGAGGAACGTCTCGACAAACGGAAACGACTGCGATTGGCGGAAGAAAGAAACGGACGCGCGTGACAGCCAATGAAAACGTAAGAGTGGATCAGGCGATTGGATAACGGTGGGTGGGAGGCGGGGTGGCGGTTGATTGGATTGTGGTGGACGATTGGCGTGATAAGCAACCAATGGACTACGAGGCTGTGCGGAAAAGGGTGGGAGATGTTAAGGGTGAGTGTTGGGTGGTGGGAGAGGCGCGGAAAGGAGGCGGGGTAAAAGGACGCGCGCCGTGACTAGGGTGTCCATTGGCTGTCAGGGCGGACGGACGGGAGGGCCAGCCAATCAGACAGCCGCTAGGGAAGGGCGGGTGTCAAACCGTGGCAGGGGAAAGAACGACAGGGGCGCCGGTGGGGGGGGGGAAGGGCGCAGGAAATGACGTTTGCAGGAGGCTGGCGTTCCGGGGATGACTGACGGGCCGGAGCCGACGCGGATTGGCAGGAGCCGGCGGAAGTGGTGCAGGTACGGGCCAAGGTGACGGTTGGAGCCGGCGCCATTTCGTGAAGGGACGGACGGAGAGAGCAAACACAGGAGAAAAAATTCTAGAAAATAACCCGAGAAAAGTGAGTAAAAAACATCAGTAAAATAACACACAACACCTCCAGATAGATAGAGACAGTGAGTGTATAAAATAATAAGTATATCAGTAAGTATTATATAAACAATCCAGAGAGAGACAGAGAGAGTGAGTGTGTAAAATAATAAATATATCAAGAAATATATAAACAATGCAGAGAGAGAGTGAGTGTGTAAAATAATAAATATATCAAGAAATATATAAACAATGCAGAGAGAGAGTGAGTGTGTAAAATAATAAATATATCAAGAAATATATAAACAATGCAGAGAGAGCGTGTGTAAAATAATAAATATATCAGGATATATATAAACAATGCAGAGAGAGCGTGTGTAAAATAATAAATATATCAGGATATATATAAACAATGCAGAGAGAGAGTGAGTGTGTAAAATCATAAATATATCAAGAAATATATAAACAATGCAGAGAGAGAGTGAGTGTGTAAAATAATAAATATATCAGGAAATATATAAACGATGCAGAGAGAGAATGAGTGTGTAAAATAATAAATATATCAGGATATATTATATAAACGATGCAGAGAGTGAGTGTGTAAAATAATAAATATATCAGGATATGTTATATAAAC